AAATACCACGGATCAAATGTTCGGTCTTTTATCAAAGAATACGAAGGAAGGTATCTTCGTAGAACCCGTGTGGGTCCTTGTACCGCGTTACGTACGAGGCAGTGTAAAGCACTAGGTCGCTTACACAAAACTTCTAAATTCATTATTCTCATTTTGATTCTTTAAATTATGCCTTCTACGAACCGCGCCAGTGTGCTCTTCGAGCTGTATCGAGGGCCTCGTTGTCCGTAGTGGTATCTTTCTCTAAATTCAAATCTTTCGATCTATAACGACGGGTCTTTGTGTCTGTCAGAGTCGTAACTCTGTTCACGAACTCATATAATAACATTGCTAATCACAAAATATAGTTATAAGTGAATAGTTATTAAGTGAAACATTGTGCATTGAGTGCGTCTAGTCCATAGGGCTAAATATTGAATAAACATTAAAAATCCGAATATCGTGGACTCCATCATTTCTAAGACTAGTTCCTGAACCTCTTTCATTACATCGATCTCAACCACGAGAGAAGGAAGAGAAACCAACCAAGGATCTACCGATCGGCAGCTCTAATTCAAATCAACAATATAAATCATAAAGACAACTGTGAGTTCAGCATTTGATATCGACTTCCCCTTTAAATTCGCCGTTGGAACTCCTGGTTACCGGGAGGCGTTCGAAACCTACATTAAAAATAAAACTCTTGTAGCTCGTCTACAAGAGAAAATCTATCTCAAAACGTGTCCGAGCCTCCTCAAGGCCCACTCTACCAATAATTATTTAACTATAATTAATTCGGACATAACACCACGTTATATCGTATATATAAGGGTGTGCCAAAATTCAATTTCCGTGAAGAAACTTTTAAAATTGGAATTTTGAGTTCCGCTTTTAACAGGAGCTGTGTTAGTGTATTTCCTGAGATATTTTGGGTTGAGATGATTTATTTTATTTTTATAGAATTTTCAACAGGAGCTTTGTTTGGGCACTTTCGTCCGTATTTGACATGGTTAACCATGTCCCTTATAGAACCAATAATTAGTACTTTAACCTTCATTTTCTCAAAAAATTTTCCCTCAAACAAATAAATTTTTTCAGTACCAACAATTCTCCAAGAGTCGCTCGAAAAATCTCGGAACTCAACGCTTGAACTTCTTGAAAATTTGATGATTATGGTCTACCGTTTAACGGCAGCGGTGGATAACAGTCTTCTCAAACTGTTGGATAAAAAGAAGAAATCGGTTTATTTTGATGACCAAAAATTCGATGATTTAAAATTGATTATCAGTACACTTACCACGTGTCGGCAGCAGGAAATTTATGTTAGGTAATTTCAATTTTCTATCTAATCACATCAAATAAATTAACCAAAATTCAGTAATATTTTTTTTTTTTCAGAAAAATTTTGTCAGATTTAGAGAACATTGAAGACGAGTTTAAAAATCTGATGGAACACTTACAGTCCCGATTGCACAAGTTACATGATACCGTCAAGTTCCGAACAGCGATCCCTATTGTCCAAGTTTACGTAAGTAAAAGTTAGATTAGAGTTATTTAATAAACTATTTACTTTTTTAAATATTTCCAGCCACAATTTATGGATTTGACTTCCATTTGGATGCGATTGCAAGATGAAATAATTGTGTTGAATAACATAAATAAATTTTTCGAGCAGTTAAACTTGCTGAGTATTGAGGTAAGTAATTAATTTTTGTAGATTAGAATTAATAATAAATTTATAATTATACTGCAGAACATAAAAATTTATGAAGAAATACCTCTAGAAAAATTCATCAAGGATTCTGAGATTCTTTCTGATGCCGAAAGACTTGAACGTTCCATGGGAAAACTCATAAGTAATCTAAAGATTTTTTTTTTATTATTTACTAGCAACCTGCAGTCGCTATGCGATTGCCGAGATTAACAGATTATTAACAAGAAAACTTTGGCTTAATAATTTTTTTATACTTCTAATCAAACTATACATAGCTTCAGTACTTTTTTAATAAATTTTGAAAATAATAATGCTATCAAATGATCAATTATTAATAATTTAATGGACAAATGTGATGGAACAAATTTTTAGAACCAAGAAACTATTAAAAACTGATCCAAAAACTTGCCATCAAAAATTGACTACTGAAAAATATCTAAAACCAAAAGGCACTAATTCTTATCAAGATTCTGATGATACCAAATTAAATTATAAAAATTTTTTTAGAAATAGGGTAAATGCACCAATTATTGACCGATTAAGGTTTTCTTTTTCTGTACTAAGCTATAAAAAATCTATTAACCTACTAAAAACAATTTGTAATGGATTTTATTAAAGTTAAATACTTAATTAATAACTATTTATAATAAAAATTAACAAAATTATATTAATTTTGTCATTTGAATCTTGAAATACTAAAATCACCAATTATTGACCGAAGAAACCCAATAAATGACCGACCGTTCTCCAATTAATTGACCGTTGAAATAATTATAAGTAATTTTGTAAACTACATGTAGGGGAGCCTGGGGCACGACGGCCTCCTTAAGCAAATTTTTTTATTTTGTGGCTTTTAACCATCAAATTCATTTATTTTCCATCTATTTCGAACGAATTAGTCGACATTTTGCAAAAAATCGAAAAAAAAAATTTTTTTTTCTGGGGCACGACGGCCCCCTCCCCAAAAAATCATATAAAAAAATTTTTTTTTTACTTAAGCTATTACCATCAAAATCTAGAGATTTTCCTTTCAATAGTTGACCGGTCTTAAAATAATATTAAAACTTATAATTTAACTTTATTTTTTCAAAAAAGTTGGAATCTGATCTTTAATTAACATAATAAAACTAAAATATTTTATATTATGCCGATAAATATCACTAAATTAATGATGAAATGTACTCACTCTCCAATTGTACGCTAGTTATTTTTGACCGCTTTATGGCTGGTTGCATTGTAAACAAACTCAGAATATTTTTTTAAAGCTATAATCACTGCGCAATTAATTGCGTAATTTTTTATTATGATGATTAAATGCCATATATTTTTATTTTAATACTTTAAGAAAAAAAAACCCTTGTAAAATATTAATTAAATAACTTTTTAATATATCGGTCAACTAATTGGTGACCGGTCAACAACTGGTGCATTTACCCTAATAATAATCTCTTCACAAAATTTTCCTGACTCTCTCAATTATTTAAATCATAAATGACTATCGCTGAAAAAATATCAAAAGCAATTTATGGTAAAGATATACCCGTTACAAAATTTTTCTTAGTCTCTTTGTTATATAAATTAATTTTTGACATATAATCACATTCAAAAATACAAAATAAAATAAATAAATAAACAAATTTTGTTTATCGCGAAATTCGAATCTATTTAGAACTAAGGTAAAGTATCCAGTACTTGAACACTTATAAAAATGGGACCAGTACTTGAACAGACGTTTCGAATTGTTGTAATACAAAATCCGTATATTTATTATGAGTAATATACGCATGACATAATTATTCAATGATACAGTATTTAATTTCTGTAAGTTTTTTCAATTATAAATCAAAACAATTATATTCTTGTTAACTTAAAAGTTGACATGTAGAGAATAGCCGATAGATGCTATTTTTTCATGAAAAAAGTGCTAAATCGTAAACCGAACAATCAGTAAAAAAAAACGGTATATCATCATTTTAAGTAAAAAATAATTAGGAAAACGGTTGACCCTAAAGGCCATCTCTGCAACTTCCCGCTAATTCCGTTAATACATGGCCGTTTTTTTGAGCTCTTGAGCTCAAAAATACAATCTGTGTGTTATTTTGAGCTCTCCGAGCTCAAAAAGATACCTTTTCTGTGCTTTTGCGCTCTTTGAGCTCAAAAAGTCTGATAGAAGTTTCATAGAACACTATTTTTTGAATTTTCAAACCGCAATAACTTTTGAGCGTACATTCCTAAATGCACTACCAGCAGCTGTAGCCCATGACATTTTGCTGTCCTGCAGCTACTTGTAGCGCATTTAAGAATATACACTGAATGAACCGATTTTTACGCGGTTGGCGGCATTCTATGCAGTTTTTTAAGCCTCACAAAGAATTTCTAAGTTTCAATTGGTCAAACTAGAAATTTCGGAGTAACTCTGAAAAAACACTTTTTTCGGTTTTCTTTCGTTCACGATACCTCTCGAACGAATCAACCGATTTTGACCGGATTGGCGGCGATCGATGTGGTTTTTCAAGGTTGAGAGCTGATTAGTTTTTGGAATCGATCGGTAGAGCCGTTTAAGAGTTATTCCAAAAAAATCACTTCTAAAAAAATTTTTTTTATTTTTTTTTTTTAGATTTCTCCGAATTTCTCAAAATCTATCGGTCCGACTCGGTTCAAATTTTCAGGAAATCTAAGTTTGGCGAAGCCCTTTCGAATGGTACCAACCGCGATGAAATCGGTTCAACCGTTCAAAAGTTATAAGAGATTTACATACTTACACACACACATACATACAGACATAGTGACATCCTCGCGGGAATAGTCAGGGAAGCTTCCTAGGACCTCAAAACGTCGAGATCTGATGAAAACTCGATTTTCGAAAAACGGGGTAAAAACAATAACTTCCCGATTTTTGAAAATTTTCAATTTTCTTAGCGGAAAGTTAAAAATTGTACCACCCAATGAAATAGTCTTTTCTAAATAATAAATATTTTTGCCAAGACCTAAACTATATTTTTATACTACATTTTAGCGTCTAACTATACCTCGAAATTTTAAAAGCGGTATCCAGAACTTGAACAAGCTGGGGCCGAATAATTTTAGCAGCACTCTAATCTGTAATAGGTTTATAGACTAATGATCGGCAATGTGATTTGTATTAATTACTGTAAATTAAATAAGTTTTGTAGCTAAAAATTAGTGTAGTTAAAAATTATTGAACGTTTTGAATTGAGTTTTTTTTTATTTATAATTGGAAATTTGCTTTATCATTCATAAAAAATGTACTGGGTACTTTATCTTATGTAGATTATCAAGCAAATAAATTACCAACCTTTAAAATTCCAACAGATAAATGCGGAGATTGTGTAATTTTATATCCGAACACCACAAAAAATTTCCAAGACATCCAACTTGAATTCCTTGGGTTCTGCGCTTGGACCTTCGTGGTCGGTTTCGGGGCCCTGATACCCGGAAATCCCAACATTGGCATCGTAAAATGGCGAACTAGATACTTCGCTTTTTCTTCTGATGAAGCTGCAAAAAAATTCGGAGAAGATCCAAGCAGGTTATTTTCTTCACTATTTAATTATCTTGCACAATTTTAGTAACTAGTATTGTTTGAACAGATTCATGTACGAAGCTTTGGATTTTGTGAGAAAAAACCCGGAGTACATTCATCTGTTTCACCTCCATGAAGACATCGAAGCTCTAAATAACCAGGAAAAGTAAAAAACTCAATTCTGCAGCGCAAATTACTTAAAATTCATTCGAATTAACTATTTTTCAGCACGACGCAAGATTATAACTTGCAGGTTCATCAAGATCAGTGTGTGCAAACGGATACTCACATCCTGGAGCCGTATATTGATCCTGATTATCATCATAGCCTCTGGAATCATCGCTACAGTGCATTGAAATTAGTAATTATTTATTTTAATTATGTTTAAAAATGTTTTCTTCTTTTTAATTTCAAATTTCAGGCTAATATTTCAAAATGTATGACCAAAAGTACGCAGACAAGCATCTCATACTTCAAAAGGTCGGCAAGTATTCAAGCGTCTGTGCCGAAAAGTACTTCTAGTCAAACAGTTAGAGACAATGAGTGCAATACAACGCATTTCCAAACACTTATTTACAATTTACCTCCAAAAAATCAACTTCAAGTCATTAATTACGCTTCTGATTGATTAAATTTGATTTTTGTTCATCATCTTTGGTCCAAGTTGTCTTCTAACCTCACTTTTAACCATAAAGTTCAAAAAATCCCCTTCCCCTCGCGGCAATTTTGAAATTAAAAGCCCGCGAAATTCAAAATTGAAATAAAAGACAAGTAATATGAATTATAATTACACATTTATTTTTTAGTAATACAATTACATTAAAATTGAATTTTTTTAATCAAATTCGCTCACTCGAAAGTTAAAAATCAATTGTATATTAATTATTAATTAAATTCACGTGTTATCGTCACACTTTTAAGTGAATTGTATAATTAGATTTTACTATTATACAATTAAAAAAAAAAAATATGATTTAAAACTGGCATTCACACTCTCACTTTTCTATTTTTTAATCAATTTAACATTCATTCTTTTAAAACATTCTCTTTCACTCGTCGATTATCAGCCCGACCATTAATTGGAATGAAAATAAAGTGTTATTTTTTTAAAATTTATTTTATTTAAATAATTTTGTCTCGTAAAAAATATACAAAAAAAAGTTCAGGGATTACAAACAATAAAATGCCCCGGAGCTAATGGATTTTATGATGGGCTGACTATTAACAAAAAAATTTTATTACTTGGAACATCATAATTGTGTTATGAATTTACCTTGAATCAGAGACTTAAAATTAATCAATAGTCAATAAAGAAACATATAAAAGGAATTGTGTCGGAGATCATGCGACGAGTTGTGGCGGAAAAACTTAATTTAAAAAAAATTGTTTTGTTTTTTTTTCGTTTGTTGTTGTTGTTGTTGTTGTTGGTGGTGGTTTTAATATTTAATTATTATTATTATTATTATTATTATTATTGTAATAATTAATATTGATTCATTGTTATTTTATCTTAGTCTAGGAAATGATTTTTAAGGTACTTCATCATACCAAAGGTTCTGAAACGTTTTACACCAAATACTTTGAAGAGTTCGTCATCACAAATGGCAAATTGCTTATTCTTCTGATCCTGGAATTAAAAAGAATTATAATTAATATTTTTTCATTATATATAAATGTATAAAAGTGATTTTTATTATATATTTATAAAGTCTAAATAAATATGAACTAGCAATCTTGCAGTCACTATGTGACTGCCGTGACTTGTGAACTAAAAATAAATAAAATTTTACTTTATTAAATAATGACTTATGTTAAATTGCACTGTACTTTTTTATCTATTGAAATTTCTAAAGATATAAGCTCATCCCGGTGTTACACTCATCAAGAGCTTTCATTTGAGTACCCACATGCATTTTGATATATTTTTCATATATACATATATATAATATATATAAATATATGAAAAATTGATGTGGGTACTTAAATGAAAGGTCTTGATGAGTGTAACATCGGAATGAGCTTATATCTTTAAAAATGTCAATATTCCACAAGATACAAGGTCATTTCTTAATTACTGATATTTTTAACGAGATAAGCTCACCCTGATGTTACACTCATCAAGAGCTTTCATTTGAGTACCCACATGCATTTTGATATATTTTTCATATATACATATATATAATATATATAAATATATGAAAAATTGATGTGGGTACTCAAATGAAAGCTCTTGATGAGTGTAACATCGGAATGAGCTTATATCTTTAAAAATGTCAATAGTTCACAAGATACAAGATAATTTCTTAATTATGTATCTAGAGATAGAGCATTTTCAAATGCAGCCTAAATATTTATCATTATAAACTGATTATTGGTGAGAATGATATGAAAACTTGAAGGCACAACTCCAGGTCAAGACTTTTCCAACAATACCAAATTTAACCATAAAAAATTTTACTTAGATTATAAATGGTGAAAACTAAAAAAATTTTTTTTTAATAAAATATTTTCTGAATTTCGAAAATTTAACAAATTTTTCTTGGACTTAGAATTTTTATATTAAACAAATAAAAATTTATTTCAATTAAAAAAATTTATGTTTTAAATTATCTATTTTACTAAAAAATTTACGTCATAAATAAAGTACTTTTTTTTTTTTAAATAATTGTATTCAAGTGAAAAAACTAATTTTTTTTTCTATCAATTTTTATGAATAATTATTTAATAATTAAAAAATCAATTTTAATATTTACTAAAAAATTAGAATAAAAAAAAAAAAACTTACATAAAGATTTCTTTCTTTGATGATGCTCCAGATTTTCTTAACAACTTCATGGCGTGCCATTTTTTCAGCATTAACAACAGTCGCTAATTCTGAAGATAAAGTAATAGCTCTCGTGTAACCTTTTCCTTTACCAACACCTCCTTTTTTGGCACCAGCGGCTGGTTTTTTTTGTTTACCCCAGTCTTCGTCGCTGTCACTGTCGCTACCCTTCTTCTTTCCTTTCTTCGCTGCTGGTTTTCCTACAAAATGATCAATCAATTAATAATTTGCAAAATTATAAAATTTCAAGTTAAAAAAAAAAAAAAAAATCAACGAACCTTTCTTTGCTGTTTTGGCAGCAACTTTCTTAGGACTGTATTCTTCGTCACTAGCGTCATCATCGCTTCCACTTTCTTCGTCATCAGAAGATCCTTTGCGTTTAGTGGCAGTCTTCTTGGGAGGACCACGTTTAGCAGGTTTCTTTTCTTTTTCTTCCTCCTCTTCTTCAGAGGCTTCCTCTTCTTCTTCTTCTTCCTCCTCCTCTCCCTCAGACTCTTCGCTGGCTGCCTTCTTCTTCTTCTTGCCACCGTCTTGTTTTTCTTGGAGATGCTCCATCACCAAATCGTCAACTTCCTTTTTCCTGTAAAATTATTTTTATTAATTTTTGCTTATAAATAAATAAATAAATAAATAAATCAATTTTTTTTAATTTTTAAATGTGCAAGGGGGAACGACGTAATTATTCTTTTTTCTAATAACACGTAGAGACCCTTGGCAATTAATATCGGACAATTGAATCTTCTTTTTCTATTTGAGAAAAGAAAATTAATTTTTTTTTTTTTTTTTTATTTTCATGTCCTTAGTTAAGTTATTTAAGATGTAATATTTACCTTTCAGATAAGTCAATGTCTAATTTTTCTTCAATTTGTTGCCGCACTTTCTTAGCAGACATGGCTGTTAAATCAGCATCCTTAAGAATAGCTGGAAAATATTATTTTTTATTAGAAAATTTTATTTAATAAGTTATCAAGATTTAGAAATTTATTTAATTTTAACATAATAAATATTTTGAGTTATTTTTAAAATTACTCAAAAAATATGCAGTAAAGTATTTTGAAAAAATATTTAAAAATTTATGATATTAAAGTTGGCAATTTTGTTAAAAAAAAAAATGTTACAAAAAGTTAAAAAAAAAATTACATTTTTTTTAATTTTTTAATGTCAATAATTTTTTGTTTGACATAATTTATCTGTTACAATAATTCTAAAAATTATCAAATATTTGCTGAATTTAGTAAAAATTTCTCATAAAAATGCAACCAAAAAATATTTTTAGTTATTTTTAAAAATGGCTTAAAAAGTTGCAATAAAGTATTTTTAAAAAATATATCAAAATTTATGATATGAAAGTTAACAGTGACTTGACCATTTTTTAATTTTATAAAAAAAAAAAATTACTTTTTCAATTTTTTTAAATTTCTAAATGTCAATATTTTTTTTTCATTTTTTTTGGCCATAATTCATCTGTTACAATAATTCTAAATTTTCAAATATTTATTAAATTTATTTTAGTAAAAATTTCTCATAAAAATGCAACCAAAAAATATTTTTAATTATTGAAAATTACTTAAAAAATTGCAATAAAGTATTTTTAAAAAATATATCAAAATTTATGATATTAAAGTTAACAGTGACTTGACCATTTTTTAATTTTATAAAAAAAAAAAATTACTTTTTCAATTTTTTTAAATTTCTAAATGTCAATATTTTTTTTTTCATTTTTTTTGGCCATAATTTATCTGTTACAATAATTCTAAAAATTTTCAAATATTTATTAAATTTATTTTAGTAAAAATTTCTCATAAAAATGCAACCAAAAAATATTTTTAGTTATTTTTGAAAATTAATTAAAAAATTGCAATGAAGTATTTTTAAAAAATATATAAAAATTTATGACATTAAAGTTAACAGTGACGACCATTTTATAATTTTATTTAAAAAAAATGAATTTTTATCTTTTAAAAATTTCTACAAGTCAGTATTTTTTTTTTCATTTTTTTTGCCATAATTAATCTGTTACAATAATTCTCAAAATTATCAAATATTTGCTAAATTAATTTCAATAAAAATTTCTCATAAAAATGCAACCAAAAAATATTTAAAAAAAATTTTTTGAATTTTATAAAAAATGTTTTTAAAATTTTTCAACAAATTAAAAATATCTTTAATTTATAGTAAAAAAAAAATTATCTCAATACTTTTGATTAAAAAATTACTAAAAAAAAATTTCATGAAAAAAAATTATTAATTTAAAAATCTAACAATTTTTTAAAAAATCATGTAATATTAAATTTTTAAAATAAATCAATCAACAACTACAATTTTTAATTCCCTAACAAAAATAACTGTTATCACAGCTCATAAAAATCAATAAACTTTTCTTTCCACTTATCTAATCGATTTCTAATGAACCAACTCGATAACCGCCATTTTTAAAACATGCCGCCATTTTATATTTTTGCGCGCCAATTCTAACTTGAGTATTAAAACAAAAAAACCGGAAAAATACAAAAGCAAAATAAAAAAAAAATAAAAATACACCCGAAAAAACTAGGGTGCGTAAAACAAAGGACCCAACATAGCAACAGAGCGCATCTACTGGTTTCCCGCGTCGTTGCAAATACGTCGTAGGAATATCGAACGTAGACTCGAACCGACGAACATATCTACCAGCAGACACCACACGACGCTACAACACACTCATACCCTTTTTACCCACCTCCATCAATACTCAGCGTCATCGACCATCTGCTATTTCGAAATTCCCCCAAATAACAATAGATATAAAAAATGACTCGCGTGACAACAATTCGATCAACAATTATAATTATTAAAATTAACAATAACTCCTACCACTAAAATACCTCGTAGTATATAACTAAAAAACGCCATCTATTTAATCATCAATTTATCACTTTTGCAAATTTTAACCAACGCGGGAATTTTTTTTTTTACATTTTCTTTCTAACAATCCCAAATTACACACAACAAAAAAAAGAAACGAATCACAAAATGGCGGCAACTTTTAAAAACTGTAAATCTAGAAAAAAAAAAATAATTAAAATAAATTTTTTAATTTATAAATTTATAAAAAATAATTATTTTTCTAATTAAATAATTAATAATTATAAGAAAATAAATAAATACGCATAATTAATTAATAAATAAGTAAATAAATAAAATGTGACTGCAATGGCCGGCGTGGGGTACGCCAACTAACTCGCACAAAACTAAAAACACAAAATCCTATAAATTGAGTAAGTATAAAATTATATTAATGGTTGATTAAAATAATTATTAATAAAATAAAAATAATTAATGGAATTAATATTTTTCAGATAATTAATTAATGAATAAATGAGTTATTTGTTACCGGTGATTTCTTTGCGTAGCTCATCTTTACTTATGTCCGCCATTTTAACTTTACGTGGAATAGGTTGTTACTGATGTACGTTCTGCTGGCAACTGAGTGTGTACTGAATCTGGATGTGACTCAAGGGTCTCTGATCGTTGCGTCTCACTCTTGAGGCTGGTGGAGAGCTGGCGGCACCGTAGCGTCCGTTGGTACAGTCTGTGGAGAAAAATGGCGGAATTAATATCCGGAATTAGGAGCTAAGTATTTAAATTAATGGAGTTTAGAAGATTTTTAGAGGAAAACTGTAATAACTAAATTGAGATAACTTTTTATGAGGAAAAATTTATTTTAGATGCCCCATAGGATTCGACGGGTATTTTACTGGGTGAGTTAATTCATTTTTTATTTACAAACTCACTTACTTTTAGAATTTACTGTACTAGCTACAGTGTCTACCGGAATTTTTTCGACGGGTAGTAGTTACAAGTATTTATTTTTTGGATTATTTATTGTTATTAGTGTTAATTAATTTTATTTATTTTTTTTCGTCCAGATTACTATTTTAGATTTTTTAAATAATTTTTTCTTTGTAAGTATTTTTGTTTATTTTTATTTATTAGTGTGATTGGTGTCGATGCTAGCGCTCTAAACTTCTGGCGGGAAAATTTGAATATTTTTACAAAATACTTTTTTTAATTATTAAGAATTCAAACTAAAAATATCGGGTAATTCTTTTACTTGATATTTAAAATTGTAAGAAAATTTTTTTTTAATTTGGGGGATTTTAGAAATTGAAATTTTAATTCAAAAAATTAAAAAAAATTATAGATGTAAATTTTTTATAATTCGCAAGAAAATTAATATTTCTGAGTAATTAAGTTATTATGTTGATTATAGTTAAATCATACAAAAATTAAAAAATTATAACTTAGTCAGTTATTATTGATTGATAACAGAAATTTCTCTCTTCTATTTGTTGATGATGAAAATTTCCGTGCAGAATCATATAACAGCGATACAACCATTGGCGCGGTAATTTAAAATTGAGGAAACATGAATTAATAGTCCACTGACTTTGCTTTTACCCGTTGTAGAAAGTAACTTGCTAGTGGAATTTTATTGTTCCATTTTATGTAAAAAAATTCGTAGATTACGAAAATAATAATAAAAAAGTTTAACTCTCCCGTGTTTTTTAAATAAATAATGAAATTACACTAGGGTCGCTGAGACACCGTATATTATCATCAAATAACTCATATATATTACTGTAAAGCCCTATTAATATTGGTATTGCATTAAAGGGCGAAAAATTCGAAATTAGAAACCACAAAAATGTTCGTAAGAAAAATTAATGAAAAAAAAAAAAAAAAATTAATTATATATTTACGTTTAATCACGCGGTCGGTAACAAAACTATAGTAACTGAGGTTGGTAGCGCGCACAGTGGTTTTCATCCACTGCAATTTGAAATGTTAATATTCTGTGATATAGAAATTGAATGAATTAAAAAAAATAATGTCATGTCCAGAATTATAATTATTTTGCTTTATAGCAAAGCAATTATTATGTTGCTTTACTTTTTTAAGATAAAAGCAACTATGAGTTGTAAATCTTTATGATTTACAAATCTTCTAAAACTAGGGACTGGCTCTATGAATCCAATACGTCGATTATTGAAAAAATTATACCTGGAATGAGTCAGCCGGTCGAGGCAGATGTTCATTCTAGAACAGAACCTGCTTGGATAGTTCCTTTTTTTCCAGTATTTCATTTAGTTCTTGTTGAAAGTTCGTACAAGCAGTAACATAAAACGATAATATTTAACTTTTGAACAACTATCAGTAAAATTGTGTGTTACAGTGAGTTTTTTAACAACCAAAATTCAAAAATCAGTGAAATTAACGTTCCTCAGTGTAATAAAAATATCATTTTACAATGAATGCAGCTGCCGCTATAATTAATCAATCAGAAAAGTGTATTTTATGCTCGCGTAAGTTAAATATTGACAATAAAACTCTAGTTAATGTTGAAGATCTTAAAAACTTCATAAAATTTAGTAAAATTCGCAAAGACGGTTTTCATAAAAGGTGGGAAATTCTTGGAAAAGATACATTTCACGCGGAATGTAAAGCCACGTATTTACTTTCCCGAAAAATTGGTTCGACTGTTACTTCCAGTAGTGTAAAACAAAAACGATCATCAAGTGCTTTACAACAACCTTCAATAGCGCATTTGGAGTTTAATTTCGCAAGTAATTGTTTTATTTGCGGAACTGAATATAATGAAGAAAAAGAAAGAAGAAAACCAGAAAAAAAGAGGCGAAAGATCTGTCGTGTTGTTGATGATACGGGTTTAACTGCACGAGTTCGAGCTGCTGCTGATGCCATTGATGACCAGCTAGGGTTGGACCTTCAAGAACGTGTTCCCGAAAATATTAGTCTAGTGGAAAAAGGTGCTATTTACCACAATTTTTGCTGGACTGATTTATTTCGTCGAACCAAACGAAGACGTGAATCTAGTGGTCGACCAGTTGACCCAGATAATTTTAAAAAATTTGAATTAATCTGCAAGGAATTAGAGAACACAAATAAGATGCAAGTCCTTTTTGATGATGTTTATGCCGAAATGGGCGATAATGCTCCGACCCGGCTATATTTTAAAACCAAATTGCAAGAACGGTTTGGAGATAAACTGATATTTTCCTCAAGAGGCTCTGGAAAAACTGTCATCACATTGAGAAAATATCTTGATGAAATTTTGCTAAATCATTACCAAATGTGCAAAAATTCTACAATTACTCGACACACTAATGACATTGATTCTGAAAATGAAGAGATTATCAACATTGAAAAACAACAAGAAATCGATGAAGACCAGAATGAAATAAAAATTGAGGACGATGCCAATGGAGAAAACGCTGAATAATAAACTTTTTATTAAAATTCTCAATTTTGAATAATAATAATAAAATTTCATACAAATAATATACCTGAGCATGATAAAAACTTATACCTTTTTTTGTTTAATTAATAAATGAAATAAATAAAAAAAAACATCTTTCATTGTTACCCTCTCCGTACTTTATATTATTCAATTATCTATGTTATTAAATAGCATTAACTATGAATGTTGTAAACATAAATTTGTTGATTTATAATTAAAAGTAAAGGATAATTAATCAATAAATTTAAAGTTTGAAAATAACACCTGTAAAAATTTAAATTTCATGTCAGTGCATTTTTTTATTTTTAATTGGTATTTTTATTCGCTCTTTCCAATAATTAATTTTAAATTTCATTGAACTTTGAGAGATTGAGCCAATTATTAAATACTGAGATAATTTTTAATAAGAAGACAATAAAACCGTTAGCAGAAATTTTTTTTTCAATTTTCTGTTATTTCAAAAATTGAATAACTTCAAACTCTCATAAATTTTCATTTTAGGGATAATTATTTTCTTTTTTTTGGCAGTTAGAACCTTGTTCTACATCCATTCAACAAATATTGCATACATTATGCGTCAATTTCTTACATTCATTTTCATTAGAAAATTTCTTCTTCTTGACTCATTTATTTATTTAATTAGTTAAAAAAATTTTATGATGTTTATCAACAAAATTTTATAAAAATCGAACTAAAGTATGAAAACTAATAAAATAATGTTATATTATGAAAAATAAAAATTGAAACCATTGAAATTAAAAACCATTTAATGGTTTTTCGTTATCTTGTGAAATCATTCTCTTGAAGAAAAAAAAAATTAATTTATTGAAATATTACAAAGTAATGGCATATTAAAAGAAAATACCCGCTAGGGTAATTATGGAGAAATAAACAACTTTTCAAACAAAAGTAATTTCTTGGAATTACAATAATCTTAAAACTAAAAGATATATGTATTCACTTTTATAATAATATCTTTCGATCGTCTATTTTATTGCATTCGACGAAATTGACTATCTATTAAAGAGCTTTGCGCGTTGGCTTATTATGATTCGGTGGAGAGGATGCTTACTCCATTACCGACTCTGGCTTATCAGGGTTTGCGCCTTTCCGGAGAAGGTATTCTAGGAAGTTATAAACACAAAGGAAAGTTCCCTCCCTGATAGCCAAACCGGTCGCAACTTTCCGTTGATTTGCTGCAGCAACTTGTCACCAAGTTGGCGGTAAGTCTTGGAAATTAACTCGGTTGTTCACCAAGTTGTCGGCAGAAATTGCTTTCGAAACTCTTTCGCACCAAGTTGACGACAAGTTTCTCGAGAAATTTGGCGACATATTGCGGCAGTAGATTGGTCTTGTTTTTCTCAGAAACTTGTAGCCAACTTGACGCCAACAGTTTCAAATTCGGAAGTTGACCGCAAGTTGTCGGTAAGTTGGTGGCAACTATCTGACACCAACTTGGTTGGTCTGAAACTGTAGCTATCAGGGTTGTTGATATCTTTTTGTTTCCTCGATTATTTCCTTAGCTGTTTCCAAGCTGAGTGAAATTGAGTAGACTTCTTCTATGTAAACGTATACTTCTTCTTGAACGGATTTGAAAGTTACGAATTTCGACGGCATTATTTAGGAAAATTCTGAAAGATGGAAATTTTCGGCTGTGGAGTTTCAAAATTTTTTATTAGCTTTTCTGTAATTTTTGAATTTCCGGAAATCTTAGAAATATTCTTTAAAAAATCATAAAATCTTAGTAAATTGCATAAAATCCTATCAAATCATATAGTTGTACGACAAACCGTAAATTTGATAGAATCTGATTGATTTTTCTGTAATTTTTTCAAAATTCTAATAAATTTACGGTTTGTCATACTTTTTATACAATTCTATACAGTTTAACTGCATGGTTTTTTTTTTGAACCATTTCATGATTTCTCAGCTAAATTTCTCCGTCAAAAATATATTATTACAAACATTTCTCATCAGAAAAAAATTAATTTCATATTTTATGTGGGAAACTTCACCCCGAGACCAACTCCTAGCGGGGCTCAGCCCCTATACCCCATTATACAAAAATGTATTTTCGCAAAAATTACTCATATGGAACTAAAATCATCATCATCATTATCGACACCATTATCACCACCACCACCACCATCATCGTCATCAACATCATTATCATCATTATTATCAGCTTCGTCATCATCATCATTATCGTCACCTTCATCATCACCATTATCGTCTTATTGTTGTGTTATCTTTGTCGCTCCTAAACGTAGTTTCGTACTCGTTGTTTCCTCATCGTTCTCTTCGTAGTCTCGCGTTCGCTGTATCTTCACCGCTGTCATTCAGTATTTTGTATTTTAAGATAAGTCGGTACAAATTAATAACTATTTTGTCAGGTCACACATAATTTTAATTTTTTCGAGTGAAATATTTTATGTTTAAATAGAAAAATAAGGAAAATTTAATTAAATACGTGTTGGTAATTTTTGTAATTTAAAAATAAAAATAACTTGTAAACTGTAAATTAATAAATCAGTTTGTTTTAAATTTCAATGGTAACTGGTTTTTTGCTGGATAATTTCAGAATTTATAACATGAACTTAAACCTAAAAATCCAGGGATAGAAAATTATACCGTAAATTATTTATCATGATGTATATTTAATAACAAAAATTTTTTTAATATGAGAAATAATTTAAATACAAAAATTTAAAAGCTAAAAAATTTCAATTCGTAAAAAAATAAAGAGAAGAAGCTAGAGCGCCGGTTAAAAAACATACAGGAAAATTCGATGTCCCTGAGAAAAAAAAAATAAAAAAAAATGTATAAAAATAAACGATACAAAAAAAAAAACAAAAAGTAAAAAAGCAATTACAAACCTCCATTATGTTTGTAAGCACATTCTCCGTCAGTACAAATGAGTCCATCAGGTTTATCTTTTTCATAACACTGATAATTGTGTTTACACGGCATGAAAATTCCTAAAAAATAGTAAGCAATAAAATTAGCAATTTGTTTAGTATATCAATTCTTAAAACTTATAAAAACTAGAATATAAAAAGATGAAAGAAAATAAATTTTAATTACCGACAGCTTGGATACATTTTCCAGTCTGATTTACAAATATGAAATTGCCGTAGCATTTGCATTTATTGTTGACGCACAATGCACCGTCTAATGCGTCTGCACATTCGTCTGTGCGCTGACAAGCATCGTCGACCCGCGATGGCCCTATATTTTCATTTTTATTTATTACAATTATTAAAAAATATATTTCTTCTTTAGGAAGAAAATAAAATGGTTTAAATGCGTACTTATTATACAGTTTGAAGAGTTATTGATGTCGAGAAAATAATTATCTCTGCAAGCGCAGACACCTTGGATGCATTCAGAATTTGACATTGTGGAACAATCTTCAATTTGTGGACCACAGTTTGTTCCTGCAGCTGGAATTAATTATGATTATTATTATTTGTGCAATAAAATTTACAGTAAGTGTACCCCCTACCGTAGTCGCTCATGACCTTAGTAGTTTATGCGACTTTAAACAAATTAAAAAAAAAAAAAAAAAAAAAAATTACAGTTTATAAATTAAATACTATTTTAAACTATATATTTCCATTAGTCTTGACATGCTATAATCTTATGTAATTATAAAAAAATAAATGTATATAGTTATATATAATTACTTAAAATTTTTTCCAATAATACTTAATTCATTTAAATTAATATAAACGAGTCTAACTCAATCTAATTCTATCTAACAAGTGATTAAACATTTCACACTTTAAGATAAGATAATTATAATTGTGATTCAGAAAAAATATGATTCATTTTATGATAAATCAATGGTATTAATATATTAAGCTATCAAAACATCTTCAGTTATTTCTGACTTTTTAAAGTTTGGTGATAAAAAAAAATCTGACAATTTTTTGTTTTTAACAGGGACGCTTCGGGTGTAACTTTTCAAACAAAAACGTTACCTTTTGGAAAGTTTAAAACCACACGATTACAGTGATTGTTTTGATATTTTCAACCCGTATTTATGCATATGTCAAGCAAATATTTGAATTTTTAAAATAAAAATTTTTGAATATTTTCATATTATTGGGTATCCCCCGAAGGGATGAAAAAAAACTATAGAAGATATTTTTTATACAATAACCCTTTTTTTCTCTCACGATAGAATTTCTTGGGTCATAACCCGAGAAAAAATATTTATATATAAATTGGTTATATATGATTATATATGAAAAATGGCCAAATATAATCATATCTAATTATATATAATTATATATAACTATATATAATTATATATAACAATATTTAATTATAGATTTATTACATCTAATTAATTATTGGGTTAATTTTATGGATAGAGTATTTAATATGGTCCTACGCAATTCTGTGTAACTGACCAAAATGCAAAAAAAATATCTAGATCTAATTTTATAACTATAACACCAGCGGTCACCCATCCAACTATTAACCCTAATCAATGCTGCTTAACTTTGGTGATCTCCGTGCGTCTTGAAGTTTCTGTCTGCTGTGCTGCTGTCTTAGACAATAATGATTCTATGATCTACTTAATGTATCATATGAGTTTATCATAAATATAATATAAAAATTGATTTTATAATATATTTGGATAGTCATAATTCATAATTTATTTATCTTACCGAATTTCATTATAATATAACACTTATTTAAATAATAAAATAAATGATGATTTCACTATTACGTAGTAGCAGAGCAGACAAAACATCTCATAGGAAATGTGACAAATTTTGTATTTCAGAATTATTTTAACGTAATTATAAACATCATTTTACACTTTTTGTGATTACCAAAAAAAATTTTTTTTTCAAAGAAAAAATTTTTATGTATGTTAATTATATATGAGCATATATAATTATATATGGGACTATGTACAATCTTGCATAGCTGTATATTGCTCCATATATAGTAATATATAATTATATATGATTATATATGACCTCATATACAATTCCATATATAATCATGTATGACTATATATAATTATATATAATCTTGCTTGGCTGTATATTGCTCTATATATAGTCATATATAATTATATATGATTATATATAACCTCATACACAATATTCCATATATAATCATGTATGATTATATATAATTATATATGATTATATATAATTCTATATAATTATATATGTGATTCCATATATAATCATATATGATCATATACAATTATATATGATTATATAGAAACATTTTTTCTCGGGAATTTTTCACTAAAAAATATATCCATACTTTCTTTATCAATAGTAATTATCGCGAAAATAAATTTTTGTATTGCGGGACTTAGAGGTGGAGCCTCGGTAAGGGTTGAAACGCGAAGCCCCCAAATAAAATATTAAATTAATATTGTTTTCATGAGAAATTTTTGTGATAATATATTGTTGATGTAGCCTTTTTAGATAATTACCCATTTAGAAAAAATTAATTAATTAATTAAAACACCCATATTAAAAAAAAATTGAAGTTTGAGAAAAAGCGGATTTAATAAAAAAAAGTTCATTTTTCTGGAAAGTTATGATAATTTTTGGCATACTAAAATTACAATTTTAATTTGAATTTACAAAAAAAAAAGTTAATATTTCGATTACCTGCATGACAAACAGTACCCTCAATATTCGGTGTATATGGCGGATCGCACATACAAGTCCTTTGTGACCGGCAAAACGCATTTTTAATACACTGATAATCTCTAAGACAACTTTCACCAATTTTCAAAGTATTAGCTGGTCCCAAACCTGATTAAAAAAATAATTGTCATTACCCAGAACAAAAACAAAATTATAATTATTATTATTATTATTATAAATAACTACTCATTTCTTCCAGATCTTGAGGACTAACAATTGGTAGCAAAACAAAAACAGAAAAATAATAAACACTCATTTTACAAATCTTGATGTTAACGGATACAACTGTAACTAAAAACTGAACTCATTCCTTTTTGATTCCCATCGTGAGATAATTCTTATCGGTATTTATTTTCTGTGACTAAGTCTTATCATATTTTAATCTAGATATATCATTCATTTTTTTATGTTTATTCGGAAAAAAAATCACGTGGAATAGATCCGAGATTTCTTAATTTTTACTGTTTATTTAGATGTCAGAGATTCGGAGACACGACCGCTGATCCGCAGACAATTGATCCGCGACATTTCATCTGCGACAATTAATCTGCATGATAAGTAAGTGATCCACCTGACAATTTATTCTCACGAAAATTAATCCGAGTGTCAAATAAATACACACAAAATCTATGATAAAAGGGCACAACACGAAATTAAATTTATATTTTAGAAAAATATTGTAAAAAGCATACTTTTGTGACAATTTTAGGACACTGTTATGGCAATTTCATGATACTTTTATGATAATTTCAGGATACTTTTATGACGATTTCAGCACACGTTTATGACAATTTTAGGACACTTTAAGAATATAGATTTTAGAAAATTCGAGGTGTCGTTAGGTTTTTTTTTTATGACCATTTTATGGCAATTTTAGGACAATTCATCCGGCACTAGTAAGACAGATATGATGATTTTAGAATATTTGAGATATCTTTAGAATTTATTTATGGCAATTATAACGTATGAATTGTCTTTAAAGCGTTCTAAAATATTCATAAAAGTATTATACAATTGTCATAAAAGTGTCCTACAATTGTCATAAAAGTATCGTGGAATTGTCAAAAAAGTGTCCTAAAATTGTCATAAAAGTATTCTCAAATTATTAAGAGTATTCTAAAATTGTCATAAAAGTGTCCTAAGAATGTCACACAAGTGCTTTTTACAATATTTTTATCTTCCCCCTAAGAAAATTGAAAATTTTCAAAAATCGGGAAGTTATTGGTTTTACCCCGTTTTTCGAAAATCGAGTTTTCATCGGATCTCGACGTTTCGAGGTCCTAAGAAGCTTTCCTGACTATTTTCACGTTGATGTCCGTACGTCTGTATGTATGTGTGTGTGTATGTAAACCTCTCGTAACTTTTGAACAGCTTGACCGATTTCATCGCGGTTGGTGTCATTCGAAAATGATTTGCCAAACTTAGATTTCCTGTGAGTTGGAACCGATTCGGACGAGTAGATTTCGAGAAATTGCAAAAAAAGTTGTTTTTTTTTTTTCATTTTTTTAAAATATCTCCGAATTGGCTGAACCGATCAACTTCAAAAACTAATCAGCTTTTAACCTTGAAATCCCGCATCGATCGCCACATAGAGCGTCAGAATCGGTTGATGCATTCGTGAGATATCGTTGTCGAAAAAAATCGAAAAAAGTGTTTTTTTTGTAATAATTCCGAAATTTTTTATCAGATCAATTTTTTTGTTCAGAATCATTTATAGAGCTCAAAAAACCACATCGATCGCCGCCTACCGCGTGAAAATCTGTTGATTAATTAAAAAGTTATAGCAAAGCTATCCCTTTGAGCTCGGAGAGCTTAAAATAACACATAAATTGTATTTTTGAGCTCGAAGAGCTCGAAAACGTCATAAGTGCAATTTTAAGCGCCTAGGTATGGAATTAGCGGGAAGTTACAGGGATGGCCTTCAGGGTCAACCGTCTTTCTAATTTTTTCTCTGAGTAATAGCAACGAAATTATTCTAAAATCTAAATTTGATTTCGATTTGGTGTCATAAATTTGGATCCTAAGCTTATGACTCTTTTAGGAAGTTTTTTTTTACACGGGTAAAACAATGTCAAAGATTATATCCATTATACGTTTATTAGTAATTTCTTTGTAGTAAAGTTTATTTATTTGAATATGCGATGGGTCCTGAGATAAGGCAATTTTACGCGCAAACACCACCCATTTATTTATCATTCCTATATTTTTTTTCAATGATTAAATTTATAAATAAAAAAATCAATTTACGAAGGACTATTATTTACGTACTCCTGCCAAGTTTCATGATTTTTTATTCAATAACTACTTGGTCAAATAGCGTTCCAGTATTTTTTTTTCAACATTTAAATATGCACCTGCCCTACATGTTCTTAAGTAATGAATTTTTATGATGATCGATTTTGAAGTATATTATTCTTTTTTTCCAAAATTCTCTTCTTTTTTTTAAGTATTTATTATTGCTCCACAATACCACAATTTATGAAGTTATAAAGACTAAAATTCCAAAATACAATACTACTTTATTCTCTGCTCTCAATAAATTTATCTCGAATTGCATGATCGGATAATCGCATTAAAGAATTATATTTGTTTAAAAATAAATAAAAATTTACTAACTTTGGTTTCGTAACGAAGCCCCACCCGCAAATATATACTGGTGCGTATATTATGCATTACATTATATTACTTTTATTTTTTCTTTTTAGACGAGACATCCGGCACCTATACTATATACTTGTACCCGTACCTGTATGAAAGATTAGATATCATACTTTTTTCATACATACAGATATTTTTTAACATGAAACATGAGTCAAGCATTACATATATTATATATATTTAAGTCAACTTCCTATTATTCTTCTAAGTAGTGTGCGACCTGACTCTAAAGTCTAAACAATTATTATTTTACTCTTTTGGATTTTTGTAAGAAAAGTTTAAATAATTGAGGTGATTTTTGTTTCATTTTATTTAAAAATTTTAATAGTTACTAAGAAGCTGCGAAAACTTTAATTGAAGAAATATTGAGGTATTAATATTGTGAATACAAAAAAATTATGAGATTTTTTTTTAAGAAAATCCAAACTTTTTTGAGAATTATTCGGATTAAGTTCTGTGAGCATCTTATTTCAATAGAACAAAATGTTTTCATAAATGTTTATTAAATTTTATAAAAATTCGACAAAATTTTACAAAGTTGCATATTATTTAGAGTTTTATAAAAATTTACAGATATTCATGATGTTTTACTAAATTTCAAAGAATTTTTAGAAGTTTATAGAATTTTGAAAAATTCTGTGAATTTCAGAGTAACTGTAAAAAATTTTATAAAACTGTGTGAAATTTTATTAATTTAAGGAGTTAGGGGTAGTCAGAGACATGAAAAAATGAGAATTTTTTTTTCCAGTAAATTATTTTATTTTATAAAAATAATAATATGGCATCATTACACAATGTTTTAACTTGGCTTCACGAAAATTTGAAAAAAAAAAAAAAAATTAATAATTTCAAAAGTTATGGCTGTTTGTGTTGACCCAGTTCCAACAGAAGGTCCGTGCGGTGACCATTATAAATCCTTGGAGATTCATATAAAATCAATTATCGGACGAAAAAAAATAGTTTTATTAATGGATAATCTAGTGCCTGATCAAAGTTTTTTTTTTGAAAATTAACAAAATGGCGGTCTCAGGAAATTTTGCTCTAAATTTTCAGGAAAAAACCAACCAGTTGATTGTTTATAAAAAATTAGGAAAACGGTTGACCCTAAAGGCCATCCCTGCAACTTCACGCTAATTCCGTTAATACATGGCCGATTTTTTTGAGCTCTTCGAGCTCAAAAATACAATGTTCGTGTTGTTTTGAGCTCTTCGAGCTCAAAAAGATACCTTTTCTATGCTTTTGAGCTCTTTGAGCTCAAAAGTCTGATAGAAGTTTCATATAGAACACTATTTTTTGAATTTTCAAACCGCAATAACTTTTGAATGAATGAACCGATTTTTACGCGGTTTGCGGCATTTTACGCAGTTTTTTAAGCCTCATAAAGAATTTCTAAGTTTCAATTGGTCAAACTAGAAGTTTCGGAGTAACTCCGAAAAAACACTTTTTTCGGTTTTCTTTCGTTCACGATATCTCTCGAACGAATCAACCCATTTTGACCGGATTGGCGGCGATCAACGTGGTTTTTCAAAGTTGAGAGCTGATTAGTTATTGGAATCGATTGGTAGAGCCGTTTAAAAGTTATTCCAAAAAAACCACTTCTGAAAAAATTTTTTTTCCTTTTTTTTTTTGAGATTTCTCCAAATTTCTCAAAATATATCGGTCCGAATCGGTTCAAATTTTCAGGAAATCTAAGTTTGGCGAAGCCCTTTCGAATGGCACCAACCACGATGAAATCGGTTCAACCGTTCAAAAGTTATAAGAGGTTTACATACTTACACACACACGCACACATACACACACACACACACACATACATACAGACATAGTGACACCCTCGTGGGAATAGTCAAAAAAGCTTCCTAGGACCTCAAAACGTCGAGGTCTGATGAAAACTCGATTTTCGAAAAACGGGGTAAAACCAATAACTTCCCGATTTTTGAAAATTTTCAATTTTCTTAGCGGGAAGTTAAAAATCAAAATTAAAAAATAATCCTTCAATCAGGCACTAGTTTTTTATATTTTCCAAAAGCTGTATAAATTTCATTGAAATCTACTGAGCGGTCTTCGAGTTACAGTGGTCACCAGTTCAAAAAACATAGTTTTGAGAAAAATACATTTAAAGTTTTACTCTCTCGAGAGCTACCTGCTCTCGAGTGTTCTGGAGTGCCCGCGCGCCCTTTGTTATTCGTCGAATAACTCGAAAGGTATTTGTCGGATTCATTTCAAATTTTCAGAGAATATTTTTAAGATATTATACTTGAAGAAAATGCAAAAAAAATCGATTTTTTTTAAATTCTGACTACCCCTAACCCCTCAAGAAAAATTTCTCAAAATTTCCTTGAGTTCTATCAAATTTGATCAAACATCAGAAAATTCTACAAAATGTCTTAAAACTATAAAGAATTTTAACAAAATTTTATAGAATTTCATAAATCTACAAAATTTCATAAAAAAAGTGTATAAAAAAATACGACAAAAACTTAAACTCCAAATTGTAACTTAAAAATATTAAAAAAGCATAAGAAACATTTTTCATAAAAAATTAAATTCTCTACACAATTAGTCGATACAAATTTTTCCGTACTTTTAACCTTGAAGCAGAATTCAACAAATTAAAACTTGATCAAAATAATCAAAATCAAAATTATTAAAATCCAATTTCAAAACATATCTTGAAATGACAGCGCAATTTAAAAAAAAAAAAAAATAAAGTAGTAAAAAATATTTTTGAAATCTAGAACCTTGGAAGGGAAGTGAAAGGTCCAGAGAACAAAAAGAACCAAAGAAGAAAGAAGCGACGTTGCATATGTGTGGATTCTGGGTTCGATTCTTGCTACACTCAAAAATTAAGATAAACACTGAAGAAGAGTCGGTGTTAGTATTCTATTCGCTGCATCTGTGTGAAGATAACACAGGACCTCGGAGTTCGCGAAAGAGAAAGGGAACCAGATTTAAGTGAAGACGCGGAGCAAAAGACCCAAGGAGTAGGTGGTATAACACAAACCACCGGATTGGATTAAGTATATTATTTTCGTGTAGTGGTTCTGTACCTTCGCCTTCATGTCAAGTAAAATGCAGCCTCCAAGTTGCTCTTGACTGTCTGTACTTTTCAAAATAATATTTTATTACAAAGTAATCGTTTTTATTTAAATAATAATAGTCATTTTTATTATTTTTATTACTATAAAATATTGTGGAGAGTTAATAATGGTTCGGACAATAAAGTGGTTGGATAATTTAGTTTTGGTAAATTATTTACTCACAATTGCTACCGCGGAATTTTTGTGGTCCCAATCTCAATCCAATTTTGAAGAGCCAAGAATTCTTCTTAGGCTAAGGCGTAAGTTGTTTTTTTTTTTTAATTTATTATTTGAAGTTTTGGGAAAATTTCATGTTTGTCGTCGTCAATTATAGAATAAGAAAAAAAATCAGATGTTTTTTATAAAGAAAAAAGAAAATTTTTTGAGTTTTGAACAGATTCATTACTTTTCAACAATAGTTCGCGAATTTAGGTCACCAATTTTTTTTAGTAGGTTAAAAAAAACAATCCTGAAAATTTGACCGCTGGATAATTTCTTAGAAAATAATTTTTTTTTTTTTAAATAACTTTCAAATTTTTTGTCCAATCAATTCACAATAAAAATTTTATAGGCTCTAAAAATTTCGTCGAATGCCGTAAAAAAAATTAAAGTCAAACGACGTGATCAAAAGATATCACAGTTTAAAAATATTTAAATATAAAAAGCTGTTTTTAAATAATTATTTACTCGGTAATTTACTAATTGGTAAATTATAACACTGAAATCAATAGACACTTGATAATTTTTTAATTTTACTAATTACACGCTATAGAGAATTATTTTTTAAAAATTGCACTCATAGTTTTTTACAATTTGTACTTATGTGTTAAATTTTTTTGTGTTAAAATTTATTTATTAAAATTGTAAAGGTCTTTTAATTTTATTAAAATTTTGCCTATTTTTAATTTTTTTAAATGCTTTAAAATCAAAACTGATGGAAGGATTTATTAATATTTAATAAAAACTTTTGTTAATTTTTAGTGAATTATTTTTTAACATTAGATGATTTAATAAATATTTATTAAGAGTTAATCAATTTGAAATTTTGAGACATTTACAAATTTTTTCAAATATAAATATTCAATATTCATGTTATTATTGGGATTCTCTCAGTGATAAAAAAAAGTTGCTCCACTGCCAGGAATAAGAAAAAAAAAGTTTATTAAACCAGAAAATGTTCCTTATACAATGACCCAAAATAGAAAAGAAAATTAAAATTTGAAAAAATTACGGAGTTTCAAAAGAAAATTCTGAATTTTGTAGAAAAAGTGTCACGATTTTTGGTATCGCAAGCGCGCGCCTAACTATAGAGTTTGCATATATTTTCATGCTTATGATATATTCGACCAATCACGTTACGAATAGTTTGATGCCACATACATTTCATCTCAATTTTATATTAGGACTAGAATTTAATTTTCGCGCGCAAGCGCGCGCCTCATATTTATCGTCATGATATATTTATGTGTCGTTTATGTACATTATATTCACTTTCAACCAATCAGAATGAGAATAAATATTTTCAACCAATCACATCACGAATAGATTGGTTTCACATACATTTCATCTCAATTTTATTATGGGACTAGTATACGTTGGGCGCGCAAGCGCGCGTGTGGATGTTAATATGGAATTATCTATATTTTCATGCTTATGATATATTTGACCAATCACGTTACGAATAGTTTGCTCTTACATGATATATTTTCATATTTTTCATCTAAATTATAAGAGTGATTTCTAGAGTAGTTTTTTACTTTATCGTGCATCATAAAAAATTTTTTTTATTTTAACAAAAATTTATTTTTTAATTTTTTTTTAAGAAACTTGAAAGAAATATTTTTCCAGTTCAATTAAGGGTACACTGGCCTCTAAAAATTATTTAAAAAATAAGATTTGCGAATATGAACTAAAATGTAATCAGTTATTTAAATCCTTTGACTCCTCTTTTTTTTCAAAGTTTTTAAAATCAATATTTTTACTCTTGAAGAATCAAAACAATTTATTTCTCAATAGAAAATTATTTAAAAATGTAAATTTTACATCACCATTTATGTAATTTTTTTCTATACTATTGTAGTGAGAATCTATAACAAAAAATGAATTATAAAATAATCCGTTAACCCTTTACCTTTAATACCTTTGGCGCGTTTATGTGTATTAACTTCGGCTCTGGCTGAGTTTTTATTGCGCCCAGTACCTTTGTATGAACTTTCATTGTATCCTCACAATGTAGAGTATAATATTGCTGTATATATAAGTATACTTACACACCCACTCGCTCCGTAATAGTGTTAAGGAAGAGTGAACAGAATTATATTACAGAGTCGAGCAGAAAGGGATCAGTATAAAACAAACTTTATTTCGGGCAACTTCTATTCGCGCTCCTAGATATTTTTTTCCTTCCTTTAATCTTATTGATAAGTTATCAAATTATCTAGTGTAAATATCTTAATATTTATTTCAAAATCTTTTCATATTCAAATTTCGTCCACACTTGAATTAATATTGCGACAGAATTACGGATTTAACTTTTTTTTATATTTAAAATTAATTTTTTTTTTAATCAAAAAAAATTTTCAAAATTTTACAAAAAATATTTAATTGCAAAAAATTAAGATTTAGAAAAAAAAATTTTTTTTTTCAAAAATTAAATATTTTAATTTTTGTTAAAAATAAAAAATATTTTATTACAAAAAATCAAAATTTAGAAAAAAAATTTTTTTTTTTCAAAAATGATATTTTGTAATTTTTGTTAAAAACAAGAAAAATTTTGACTAAAGTTAAAAAAAATTATTGTTAAAATTTTGAAAAAAAAATTAAATACTTTTATAAAAATAAATAAATAAAATTGATGACATCTGTTTAGACACGTGTGTAATACTCGCAGATTCAACAATAGACAAAATGATTACGTAATGCATACAATATAAATAATAGTGTGGCACAATAAAAAAGTAGAGGCGGGATTGAAAAAAAAAATAAATAAAATAAAATACAACGCAGTGGCTTTATTTGATTTACGTCGTCGATGGGACACATAACAACAGTGGGCCTTGAATTAAAGAGAGCAATCTTGTAACACCCGAGTGCTAATGATAAAATAATTAAATTAATGATAAAATAATTTAGTTAATTTAATAACGGAGGGAAGATAATTGAGATTAATTATTAATTAATTAGTGGCAAGTCATAAGATTCGAATTCCGATGAGCAAGTGGCGTGAGACCGGGCTAAGAAGAAAGAACGATTGAGTAGATTATGATTATGATTATGGTGATCGAGGATTTAGTATCGAGAGTGAGGAATTGAGGAAGATCGGTGATCGGTGATGGTCGTGGGTTTAAAGGTGTCATGAATAACAGAAGAAAAAGAAGAGAAACGGCAAGATCTTCTCATGAAGAATACAAGTGTTATCGCGTTTCTTATTCTTTTGTACACCGTCACGGTTTTATGCACCACGGTTTCCGTTGCATTTAGACATCATGTTTTACCTTGTGATGATCGCAGATCTCATACACGTATGTTTTATTTATTATTTTGTTTCATTGCGAAAAAATCATTATTTTTACTTTTTTTTACGATTTAAAAAAATTTTTTCAGTTTAACTTATGACATTAAAGTTAGCAGTCACTAGAGAATTTTTTAACAAAAAAATTTTTTCCAAAAAATTATTTTTAAAAAAATGCATTTTTCATTTTTTTAAATTTCTATATGTCAATTTTTTTTATATTTTTTTTTGCCATAATTTATTTGTTAAAAAAAATTATTAAATATCTGCTAAATTTATCATCATGTTAAATTTTATTTAATTAAATCCGTCTCTTTTTGAATATTATAATCAATTTTTATAATTAAGATTAATTTTTGTGACAAATTTTTTTATTAAGAAAAAAATCTAGTTTTTTTTCCATATTATCAATTTAAGAATTTAATTTTATGCAAATTTTTCATTAAATTTAATTTTCTTTGTTATTTTTTAGTTTATTTATACTCGTTAATTTATTTAAAAGTGACTCGTTTAATTTTTGGGCTAAGCAGAATAATATACTTAAATATTGAAAATATTCATTGGTGTACGCCGGATTCGAACCCGGTCCAATGCTTTGGTAAGCAAGGGCCAGGTCCGATAGACTACTGCGCGCCTTCTTTTTTAATTAAATTTGATTCGAAAATTTTCATTTTTATTAAATGTTATTATAGATCAATTTTTTTTTACTCACTTTGCGATTTAAAAAATTTTTTTTATTCAATTCCGACTTTTTTCAGTATAATGATAAATTAATATTTTAATTTTGCAATCGAAAAAATTTTATTAAATCTAAAATTTTTCATTAAAATTCGATTATTTTTTCAAATAATTTTTCAAATTAGATCGGACATCTCAATTAAAATTCAAACTTGAGGTTATTTTTACTCATTAAATAGTTCAAAATTCTTACTCCGATATTTTTTCATTAAATTCGCTTTTTTGTTATTTTCGCAGATTTGAAAATTGAATTAGAAATCAACAAAAATGATTTTTATTCAATTTCTTTAAACTTCTCGATAGAATTAGAACTTTCCATCAAATCCCAATTTCTTTTTATTTGCAAAAAATTTAAATTAGAATCAATTTTTTTCTATTAGAACTTCAAAGTTCAATATTTTACTCCATTGTTTTTAATATCGACTTTTTCTTTCAAATTTAACTTAAATATAGAAAAAAAATTAAAAAAAAAAATTTTTCCCCTTATTATTTTTATAATTAATTAATTAATTACCTTCTTTAATTGTAATTTAAATTGAACAAAAATAAAAATTTAATTATTGTAATTTTTTTTTAATTACTTTATTGAATAAACAGTCTGACAATAACTCCAATTATCCAAATAATACTCTTTATAATAAAACATTTCCCCAAAACAAAACCATAAAACTTCTGAAGCGTAAATTATTTTTTAATTACCCCAATTATATTTACAGAAACAATGAAATCATGTACCTACGACACGGACTGCATTGAGAACGCATATTGTTTCAATCGTGAAACATGTCACTGTAAAAACGGTCACGTCATCAATCGTAACCACACTCACATGCAATGCTTAAAGAGTAAGTACCTCATCTCTAAAACCTACTAAAAACATCAAAAATCTTAAAATTTTAAACTTCCGCTCCCGACAATGGATTACAACATTTACAATCTAGGAATGAGTATAATCCCGAAGAATGAATGAGTAGCATTTAAAATAAAAATAACATACAGGGGATCCACTATCTCACGGTTTTCTGTCTCCCCTACGTTTTCTCCACTACTTCAAGCGTATCCAGATCCAGACAATCTCAAGTCCACCATATAATATAATGTACGATACATAACATATATTATATATATATATATATACATATATGAAGTATGAACTAAAACGTGCTCGTCGAGCCGTCAAACTAAACTGTCTCTTCCCTCCTTACCTTTTTCTTTTCTTGCTGAATAAGGGTATTGACTCTTTGTCTGTCTTTACTCGGCAATGACTCGAAAAAAAACAACATTACAATAAATTACCAAATAACACACAATTATCTTTGTCATGTTCTGATTAACTTTCATTTCAGTCGCATCAAACCTGGGAGACGCGTGCGAGGAGAACATACAGTGTGAAATGACATTTACGAGCCAGGCCGAATGTCGAAACAATGTTTGTGCCTGTGTCGATGGGTCACACTATGAAGAGGAGCAGAGACGCTGCTACGAATCTGTTGGTAAAAAAAGAAAAATTTTTTTCGATACGTTTTTCTGAAAGAGGAAAAAATTTGAGAAAAAAATTTTTTTTGGGTCATTTACCCCCCCCTGTGTCATAGTTACTCCCCCCCACCTAGCTCTAGCTCCTCCTACTCTGCGCCGTTGCTAGCGCAACTACCTCCCACTCCGCGCTGTTGCTACGCTGTCCCCCCACCGCGCTACGGTAACCATACACGGAAAGAACAAGATGACACTGGATACCATCTCAGATTATACTCAGTGACATCAGAGGTGAAAAAAAATTTCAGATGGTAGCTAGTATAATCCAGATTATACTGAATAATATCGGGATTATACTCATTGTAATCTGGATTATACTCACTGTTATCTGGATTATACTAGCTACTATCTGAAATTGTTTTTCACTCAGTATAATCTGGGATTATATCCAGTATAATCTTGTTCTTTCCGTGTAGCAACCTTATAACAAAAAACTGAGATTTTTTTACGCTTTAGGAATCGGAAAAATGTGCAAGACAAGTTACAATTGTTACGTAGAGGGCTCAGAGACATTTTGCTTCAATGGATATTGCATTTGTCCTTTATTACACCATCCGAGTAGCGACGAAACTAAATGTCTGAAAAGTACTGGTGAGTTTTGAAAATTTATTTTTTTTTTTTTGATAGTATTTAAGTAACTAAATTTTCTTTCTAGCCTTGGGAGAAATGTGTTCGATCGATGAAGAATGTATAGCAGAAAATTCACGGTGTATCGGATTATGCAGTTGCAAAATTGACTACGTTTTGTCTAAGGATAAAAAAAAATGTCTGAAAGCGGCTAATGTTATCGGAGATCCTTGCGAGGAGGATTTACAATGTTCCGCATTTTTGAAAAATACAAAATGCAATGAAGAAAATGTCTGCGCTTGCGTGCTTGATTTTAAGCCACGTGAATCTATTTGTCTGAGGAAAATTAGTGAGGATTTAATTAAATTTTATGGAAATATTTTTTTAAAGATGAATATTAGAAAATTGATTTTTTTTTTTCAGATCCAGCAATGATCGGTAAAGCATGTTTCAGCAGATCACAATGTGTTCATCCACCAGCGGATTCTGATCTTAAAGACACAGAGGTCGCTAATGTCGATTGTATCGCAGGTAGTAAAATTGTTTGCTAACTTCAAAAATTTTAATTTTTTTATAAAACAAAAAATTTTTTCAGGACTTTGTTCATGCGCACAAGATTACACTTTGACAGAAGACAAAACCGACTGTATCAGATTTAGCGAGAATGGTAAGAGTTCTCTTCATGTAAAAAAAAAAAAATTGAAATTAAAACTAAAAAAAAATTTTTTTTTCTAGGAACGGGAAAAATAAAATCTCATTCATTATTAATTTTAATCACGATAAAAATACTACAAATACTTTAACCTATATTTACAAATTTCAACTTATTAACTAATTAACAAACTAGAGGCTCTATTTATTTATTTAAATTTACTTAGACACTTAAGTACCTGTTTTAATTAAAAAAAAAACTTAATTTACTGAAAAATACCAAAGTATTTTAAAAAATAACATTTTATGTTTATTATAAAAATAAAAATTAGATATTTACAATGATTGCACTTGCTGATGATTGATTTGTTTATTTTAAAAGTTCGTTCAAAAGTTCACATGAACTATTGACCTATCGATTGTTGTTGGATGAAAGGTTGCGTGACTAAGTCTAATTTAGGTCTCGAATTTTTTGTCGGTTCTCGATCCCGTTTGTTTGAGGATGAGTATATATATTGTGAGTCAGCACGAAATACTATAGCCCTATTATGTTTCTTTGATACTTCATTTTCATCAATTTTTTTTTTGTCAATTTGCGAACGATTAATAAATTATCAAGTTTTTGTGTCTATTTTTTTAATTTAGTTTTTTTTTTTCAATTTTTTTAAACTTTTCATAAAAAATGTATAATTATAAAAATTTAATTTAATTGCTTAAAATTTATATAGATTATACTTAATTACTTGAAGATGAACGAATAATTAAATATAATTTTTTTGGGACTGTTGTACATATAATTGTGTATAAATTACACATAATTACACACAATTTTTACATGTATATATTTTTATATACAGTTATATATAGTGACATACAAGGAGGAAAAAAATCATGATTTTTTCTATTTTTGCACGGAAAAATTTTTTATTGGCATAGAAATTTCTTCCAGGTCAAAATAAACAGAGTTCTTTTGTTAATATAGGAACAAATATATTTTTATTATATGTTAAATTCCTATTTTAGCTCCAAAAATTTTCCTGTTAGGGTAAATGCACCAGTTGTTGACCGGTCACCAATTAGTTGACCGATGTATAAAAAAGTTAATTAATTAATATTTTGCAAGGGTTTTTTTTTCTTAAAGTATTAAAATAAAAATATATGGCATTTAATCATCATAATAAAAAATTACGCAATTAATTGCGCAGTGATTATAGCTTTAAAAAAATATTCTGAGTTTGTTTACAACGCAACCAGCCATAAAGCGGTCAAAAATAACTAGCGTACAATTGGAGAGTGAGTGCATTTCATCATTAATTTAGTGATATTTATCGGCATAATATTAAATATTTTAGGTTTATTATGTTAATTAAAGATCAGATTCCAACTTTTTTGAAAAAATAAAGTTAAATTATAAGTTTTAATATTATTTTAAGACCGGTCAACTATTGGATCCGTCAGAAGCCCTTTACCCAGTAAAAAATTCATTCGGTCATTGATAAGACCCTCTGATTTTATCACAATCCAATTAATGACCGTATATTTATAATACTAACTTCTTAACTTCAAAATTAAATCCGTCAAGTGTTTAAAGTACTTTAGTCATTCAATATTTTGTAAATATAAAAATAATCATTATAAAATGTATATTTATAATTAAAATATAATACTTAAAATCTTTCTTGATTCTTCAAAATTAAATCTGTCAAGTGTTTAAAGTACTTTAGTCATTCAATATTTTGTAAATATAAAAATAATCATTATAAAATGTATATTTATAATTAAAATAATACTTAAAATCTTTTTTGATTATTAAATTTTATTTTGTTCTAATTTTTTTAGTGAACGGTTATATCAAAGAACGAATTATTAGAAGAAAAAAATTGCTAAGCAATTAAAAAAATAAAAAAGAGTTACAAGCTAGTAAAAAAGCTTTAATTGAAAAAAAGAAGAAGTAATAAAAAAATTTCAAGTGAATCAGAAGAATTATCGTCATCAAAATGAATTTGTGATTATTTGTGACCTAAAGAAATGTGACTTTATGTTAATTATTGATATTATTTTATAAAAAAGTACGATTTAAAATTATATTGTATGTTTAGTTTTGTTAAAGATGTTGTTAATACTTCAAAAGTACTGCATAAATTTAATTACATACATGTAGTTTACAAAATTATTTATAATTATTTGAGCGGTCAATTAATTGGAGAACGGTCGGTCATTTATTGGGTTTCTTCGGTCAATAATTGGTGATTTTAGTATTTCAACATTCAAATATCAAAATTAATATAATTTTGTTGATTCTTATTATAAATAGTTATTAATTATTATTAATTAAATATTTAACTTTAATAAAATTCATTACAAATTGTTTTTAGTAGGTTAATAGATTTTTTATAGCTTAGTACAGAAAAAGACAACCTTAATCGGTCAATAATTGGTGCATTTACCCTACAATAGGAAAAATTGCTATGTCACATAGCAAAAATTTACAAACTAAAAAATATTTTAACTCAGAAAAAATTTGCATAGAAATTTTTCCTAATTTGATAATGGAAATATATCTTTGCCAAAATAGGAAAAGTTTGTATGTTGATACAGGAAAAATTTCTACTTTACCATCCAGTGTTCCTATATCAAAATATTATAGCCATTCTATTAATGTTAGCATAGTAAAATTGACTATGTCCACATAAGAATAAATTGAATTCTAGTTTATGAGCTTCAATATTGAAAATCTCACTATGCTACATAAAAATAATTTCTGACACCGTAAAATTTGACATAAGAATTTTCCTATGCAAAAAAGTAAAAAACTCGATTTTTTTATCTGTGTGCACGGAAAAAATTTTCTTTAAAAATTACCTTTAAATTCACTGTAATCGTGGGTTATAATACAGTCCTTAATTTATTACCATTTTTTAAATAAAAATTCATTTAATTTATGGTAGACTAGATAAAATTTGTGAAAAAGCTAACAAAATTTACGGTAGATTCCGATAACTTAGTTAATACGAGTTGATTATCATCTAGTTGATGTTCAATAATTTACATAAAGTTTTCGTAAGCTTCGCGTCAACTTTGCAATTTGCAACTGTTGTACGGAATATGACTTCAACTTACGCATCAAGTTAGCGTATGCCTACTGGCAAAATTAGATCGAACGGTTAATTCAAAATTAACGCGAAGTTGAAGTTAACTTGACGAAAACTAAGTTATTTAACAAGTAAAATTGTTGTCTTACTGTTTCCGTAAACTTTACATCTTATATGGTCGCAAGTTTACATCAACTTATGATGTCATTTGTGCTTAGTGAAAAAACTTTATTGAACTTGTAAGTTATCTGACTTACCGACAAATGATGAGGCTATACCATCCGTTTTACGATTACAGTGAATTTAACGGTAATTTTTAAATAAAACTTCTTCCAAGTGTATAAATCGTTGATCAGCGCCCGAAATCAGTGACTAACTCACCGTAAAGATTAGAAAATGCAACCCGAATTAAAAAAATTAACTTAAATGAACTTAACTACTATACTAAAACAATTAATTTAAGCTCACTTAGTTATAGCACAAATGAAATCAAGTTTCCTGCGGCCGGAATTGGACTTAAAGTTTACACTAACAGTAAGGCAATAGTTGTACTTATAAATAGTTTACGTCAATGTCAACTTTCACAAACTTCGCTTCAACTTTGAGCGAACTTTTTGGTTAATTCCGGCAGTAGGTTTACGTTAACTCGATACATAAGTTAAAGTCAAGTTCTGTGAAACTGTTGCAAATGCAAAAGTTGATGCAAAGTTTACGTTAAATTGACGTAAACCATTGAACATCAACTAATTGATTGTCAAATCGTGCTAACTAGGCATTTAAGTTCATTTTTTGACTTAGGAAGAGTTTCATTCACGTGGACGACAGCAAGTTGCTCTACAATTCGACGTGCAAGTTCTTCAGTAAAGTTGTAGTAAAAGGGTTAACCACAAACTTGATGTTAACTTGGATTCCGATTCCGACCATAGATTTTCATTAAATTGTATACAACTTTGATTCAGAAAGACTCTTCGCAAACTTTACGATAACTTCACTCGAAATACTAAACTGCATGTTCTTGAACAAAAAGTGAAGCTATCAGGGTATGCATGAAAAGTAACCTAATATAATTATCTGCAACTTTTTCCATCCTGATATTTACCATATATATTAACATTACTTATTCAACCACTCTTCTTTGATCATATCACTAGCTTTCTCCCCGATCATATAAGTCGGCGCATTAGTGTGTCCCGAAATCAAATTAGGGATTACACTAGCGTCGACTACTCTTAACCTTTCAATACCATACACCTTAAGTTCATCATTAACAACACCATCTTGTTCCTTCGGCGCCATTTTGCAGGTGCCCACAAAATGCCCGAGTGTCGTGGAAATCTGCCTGCAGACACACTCCCAGTACTCGTCAGTTCCCGAATCAATATTTTTACACCCAGGAAACTTTACCGGTAACAGAGTCGCGTTGTATTTCTTAAAAGCTTCAGTTTCCGCAATTTCCAAAGCCTTTTTGATCCCTCTGACAAGTGTTTTTAGATCTTCCTCATTTTCGAAGTAGTTTGGGTTAAAAATTGGCGCGTCGAAAGGATTTTTACTCTGCAAAGTGACGCTTCCGCGGCTTTTCGGGTGTAAGAGTATAGGAACAATGCTGAATCCGTCTCTGCCGATAAAATCGCCAAATACTTCACGGTACCAGGAGTCAGGGAGGGAGAAAATACTTCGAAGAGTGCCTGATAAATCACCGGCCATTGATCCAATTCCGAAAACTAATTCAATGTCTGGTTCTTCAATTTTTGAACTCTCTGCTTCATTGGTGACGTCTAAGCTTAGATTATTCTATAAATTAAAATATAATATTTTTAAAAATTAAAATTTTGTAATTTATTACTTCTATTTTCAAATCTAACTGCAAAATATCAATTGTCCGTCAAAAAAGTAAAGAATTATCTATAAAAAGTATCCGTTTGGTTCCGATACTTTAGTTTCACTTATCTAAACTAGTAGTTTTACCGCGCATGTATTAGAACAGATCCCGCGCATGCGCATGATCTGTTCCAGCGCATGCGCAGTTATGAAATTACTTGTTCTTAAAAAGACAATCTCTGGACTAATTTATCGACGGAAAATACTTAAGTGATTAACAACCTACTATTTTATAAAAATAAAATTTTCACTCTTACTTTTTTACTATATCTTCCCTCGCCGCTTTTCGTATTCACAAAAGCCAGCGCTTCGGCGCCGGATGGCGCAGTAAAAGGTCCTTGTCCGTAAGCTAAGTAGTCAAAAGTGTCCTTGAAGTTAGTCGCAATCCTGGATTCAACAATAGAAACAGTATCATTTACGAGGAAGGTCAGCGCCGCCATACTGACATGGTCCTGCAGATTCCTACCAACCGGCAGATCGGCCAAAACCTCAATTCTCAAGTTCTCAAGATGGTTCTTTGGACCAACACCAGAGAGCATGAGAATCTGTGGAGAGTTCAAGCTTCCTGCCGCCAATAGAACTTCTTTAGTAGCCATTACTTTCATCCGCCGGCCATCTTTGACAAACTCGACGCCTCGAGCAACTTTAGAGTTTTCATCAATAATCACGCGGGTAACTTGTGAATTTCTAGACACATGGAGGTTGGGTCGGTTTCTGACAGGTCTCAGGTAAGCTTTAGCAGCACTGAGTCGTCTTCCGTGACGTAGATTGACGGCTACTGGGCAGAAACCCGTTGGAGTCGCGTCATTGCAGTCTTTGAGGTTATACCCGAGTTCTTGGCCCGCTTTTAGAAACCTGTCACGCAACTTCGATCTCCAGGGGACTGAAGTGACATCCAGAAAGCCATCTTGACCATAAACTGAGGAGTTCAACCGATTGTGGCCCATTGAATCGACGAATCGCTCAGATTTAGCGAAATATTGAGCGACGTCACGGTACCGCCATCTTCTATTGCCCAAGGCAGCCCATTGGTCATAGTCCCGAGGCAATCCGCGGGAATGGATCATAAAGTTGATGACAGAAGTTCCTCCAACGGCTTTGCCACGTGGCCAGTTGCAGCGACCTTCTGTCATTGATCGGCAGAACTCGGAATTTGGTTCTGTGCGGTAGCCCCAGTTGTATGGCGTCAGCTGCATCGCCGCAGCTAGCAGGGGGATGTCGGTAAGGAATATCTCGTCTCTACCAGCCTCTAGGAGTAAGATTTTCCAGTGCGGTACTTCACTGAGTCGGTTAGCGAGAACTGAACCTCCCGAACCTGCGCCAATTATTATGAAGTCGTAATTGTTGAGCAGCGAGGGTTCTTTGTTTAGCAGACCGGGAAATGGTGGGTACTGTTGGTAGTATTTTAGAATGTTGGTCATGTAGGACAGTGGACCTGATGCTGATGTTATACCGATAAGGAGACAGTAAATGATTGCGGCCATTTTGAGCTGGAAAAATAGTAAGTTTATTGGACTAGAAGAATAATTATACTTAATTTATAAAGTTAGAATAGTTTAGTTGGTAGAACATATAGTTTATAATTTTCCTAAGGAGATATAATTATATCAATCCTGGAAAGAATAATAATAATACTTTTGAAAAAGTAAAAAAAACACGATTTGATAGAAAAATCAAATGAAAAGTAGGATATAATTTTCAATTTTAACATGCTATTTTCCACGTTAAATTTTATACATTTTTAATAAAAATAAAAATTTATGAATTTTTACAAAATTTTTAAAACTTGCGAAACTGAAATTTCACAAAAAAATTACAAATACTTATTTATAAGTATTTATTATTAACTAAATTAAACTATGTGGCGCAATTTAAGTTATATAATGATACCGAAATTTTAAGCAAATCAAGGTATTGCGTATTGGAATATAATTTATTAAGGACGGAAATGAATGTAGAAAGACGTTTTCATGCTAATTTTTTTAAAAACAAAAATAATGATCTTCAGGGGAGGTGGCAAAAAAAAGAAAGCAAAGTGGAATTATAAAGGAGAAGATCTGGAAGTGGTTAATAATTTCAAATATCTTGGGTACAAATTTACTACAAAAAACTCAAGCAGGAAGCATGTTAACGATCTAATGAATAAGGCGAACACCACTGCTAATGCTACCTGGGGACTAATAAAGAGGACGGACAGAAATAACGCAAGAGACCGGGTCTACCTATATAATTCACTGTTAAATGCAGGATGCATGTATGGAGTGGAAGTATGGGGGTGGGAAAATGCAGAAAAAATTAAAGCGATATATAACAAAATGAATAAAATAGCGCTGGGGGTAGCAAGAAATACACCAACTTACATCATCAGAAGGGAACTGGGAATAGAGCACATAGAGTACATATTAACAGAAAGGGCACTCAGGTACCTGGTAGATATAATGAAGCTTGAAGATAACAGATCGCCAAAGATATGCATGAAAGAAGAAATGAGGGGAATAATCAACAAAAATCCAAAAAAGTAGGGAAAAAAAATGGAGAATTTCCTAGTGGAGATAGGTATAATAGAAGATATCATTGGGAGAATATACGAGGGAGGAAACGTTGAAGAAATAGATGAAAAAATAAAGGAGGGGCTGGAAAAATACAAAAAAGAGCTAGAAATAAAGGAAAAGCTGCTAATAGAAAAGTCCAAATATAACGAGTTTTACAAAGAGATATTACAAGAAAGTGAAAACAGCTATTGGAAAAAAGATCAAATTAAAAGTGAATACAAAGAGGTATGGGCAAGAACGAGATGTGGAAATCTGTGGAGAAGTGGAAAAAAAGGGCAAAAGAATTGGGAATGCAGAATATGGAAGAAAGAGGAGGAGACACTGATGCATTTATTAAGCTGTTCAGAGATAATTGAAAAAATAAGTGAAAAAGGGCAACAAGCAAGAAACAAGTGGATGAGCGAAATAGAGGGGGAATTAACAAGAGAAAGATTAGTGATAATTTTAAAAGGGGAAATAAATAGGGATCTATGTATATATGTTAGAGAAATGGAAAGATTATTTAAGGAAATTGAGTAGTACTACGTACTACAATATTGAATGTCAGAAAAAGGCTGTCATTAATATACAGGGATAGATACTAAGAATAACTATGAAATAGTATTAATAGTATTGTAATGCGACTGTTATATGAAGGATGAGGTGTATAAAAAGTTAAAAGAGAGTACAAGCAGTTGAATTTTAAGTCAAAACTAGTGTATATGCAAATGTAAATAATTAAATTAAGATACAGTTTTGTAAAACGCAACATGTGATTGAATTGACTTCTTTCTTCCCTTCTAAATCTTGAATAGTTTAATCGATAGAACATATTTCCTAATTATCTTTGACAAATTGACGTTCTAATTAGTAAATTGTTTAACTCCATTTTAAAGAATCTTCCATTTGTACGAAAAAAACAATTATTTTAATATTTGTTGTGACTTTAAGAAACAATTTAATATCTAATAGAGGTATTATATTTTTGTTTGGATCATTCAAATAATTTATAATTAGACTATTGCTACATCCCTAGCAGTTTTGTAAATGCCGAAAAAATGTCGCAGTTATACAGTATTAATGCCGTATTTTTTCAGTATTTTTTCGGTTGTTTTGGTCAGTTTTTTCATCGAAATATTACGGAACATTTACCGTAAAAATGCGAAATATTTACGCTAAAAATGCGGCATATTTATAGTAATAAGGCGGTAAAATGACCTGTATTAAAACCATATTTAAAAAATGGTGTAAAATTAAATAAAGCTCAGACTGGGATTTGAACTCAGAACCTCCCGAGGACAAGTCGGCTACTCTACCATTTGAGCTACCCGGCCTGTACCATATTGTTATTTGCTTATTCTATCTACATTAAGCCATACCGCCCATCTTACGATAAACATATTTAAAATTAAATAATATAGTTATATATGTGAAACAATGTAACTTTTCGATTTTAGAAAATTTGCAATTTTCTAAGTGAGAAATTAGAAATTGAAATTGAAATTAGAATATATTTACTTAACATTATGTATTCTTTAATATTCATTACCGCTAAATACCTAATTAAAACGGCCTGCCAAAGACCACGGCCGGTGCAATATTAAGAGTGGAACTAGGTAGACCTAGACTAGCGTACTTCGTACTGAAAGCAACCTGGGACTGGATCTGCAAGATCCTGGTAATGGATGATACGCGACTACCAAAGATATGCCTTAAACATATGAGCAGTCTCTCTCAAACTGCACATCCCAAAGCTAAATTCAACTGGCTCTGTCTTTTTCTCGGGATCATCAAAAAATACTATCCAGATATAGTACCTCGCCTAGAAAAACTGGACTTACACACATGGTGCACATACCGGGATACGTTCCTACGTAGATACAAGAATCAAACCTGGTGGGAAGATATGCGGCTGGCCAGTAATGCCCATTACCTACAAACACCTTACACAACCGATAATCCAAGAAGCTGCTGCAAATATCTCTCCAGAAGGATGAAGCTCAACGCCACCAGACTGTTTATGCAACTAAGACTGGCCAGCAAATATTACTTCGCATTTAAAACCTCCGGATGCTGCTATGAACTGCAATACAATTCAAAATGCCCAATATGCAATACCGAGGAAAATGACACCATCGAACATTTCATGATTGACTGCCCAGTCTTGGCCCAACTCCGTCATCAGTTCCTGAACTATTCCAATTCTACACCTCCTGCAATCCACGATGTTCTGCAAAAACCTGATATGCATACTATTAAAGCTCTCAGTCTATTCATACCACAGGCCTGTCGTCTGAGAGCCTTCATTCTAAGCAAATAAATTGTAAATGTCCCGATTTTTTATTTTTATTTTTATTTGTATTATAAGAATTATAATTTAATGTAAATATTAAATGTATAAGTGCCCCCTGGGCTATGGATTATGTAATTGTCCTAGAAGCTCAATAAACTAAACTAAAAAAAAAACTACCTAATTAAAAAATAATATTCTACATAGTATTTATTCAAAAACAGTATTTGTTTTTGCAAAGTAACGATGAAGAATAAAAAGCAAAATTGGAAATTTTTCATTTTATTCATTTCTAACATAGAAGTGAACTAAAAATAAAACCAAATTTTTAATAATTTTTCATTATGTCAGAAAATATTCGGCATAATTACTGTATTATTACGGTAATTATTTGGAATTTTTTGGGTAAAATTTGGGCATTAATGCGGTAATTGTATAGTATATTTTTGGTAACTGCACGGAAAAAAATTAACTGTTGCTGCAACAGGAGGCAGTCATGTTGCAGCAACAGGAGAAAATCCTGTTGCAGCAACAGGATTTTCCTGCAGCTGCAACATGACTGTCTCCTGTTGCAACAACAGGAAAAAATCCTGTTACAGCAACAGGATTTTCCTGTAGCTGCAACAGGAGGCAGCCATGTTGCAGCAACAGGATAAAGTCCTGTTGCAGCAACAGGATTACTACTGTTGTTGCGACTTAATAATATAATATAGTTGGGTCATTCCATGTCAAATTGACCTACAGTTGGAATTGACCCCTTTTGATATGAATAAATTTTGGTCAGAAATTTTCTTTTATCATAGAACAAACTTCTG